ACTATCTTTTAATATTTTTTGGACTTGATCGATAATCCATAAATGGAATTTTAACATGCTTTAAAACAAGGTGAATGTAGATTTTAGAACATGTGATTAGGTGATACAAACACACACGCTTATAGAATCTACACAATTACAATATCTTGGAATTTTTTGTTGGCGAGTGAGAATGCAAGATTTGTAATATACTTCGCGATGAATCCGATCTCTCTAGTGTATAAAAAATAGAATTATGTCCCCCAAGAAAATTAATAATCTGATTAATTATACTAGTTCCAGTGGTTTAAAAACTTAAGAGAGAATCTTTCTGCGATCTGCATTGTTATGTGCTGTCCCACGGCTATGAAATTGTCTGTGTTCTTTCATGTCACGAGATTTAAGACCAAGCACAGACCAATGTGTTTTATACTTTTATGTATAGGTTAAACACTGTTTTGTTTAATATTCGCACACCCATGCACATTAAATACAAGGTAAGGTCCGTAAGGAGCAACATGATTAGACTAAATTATTTACATGAAATATAAGATTATTTTCCACTTGCTAGGTGCCAGTCTATCTAACTTGTTTCATTATATAATTGTATCACAAGAGTACCATACAATCCAACTGTTTCAGTGATTTGATGAATTTTATTGTAAACTTTTTAATACTTTTTAGCTTTAATATATTTTTTCCGCGATTGGAGATTATTAAGCTAATTTGTTTACACAATTGGGCTCAAGTGTTGGCCCGTTTCTTTAGGTGATGCAAAACACAAGGTCGGCTACGGACCTACGGTTGCTTGTTTCTCATTACGAGAAAAGAAAAACAGAGAGGCAGATGATCTGATATAAAAGGAAGTCAAGAAGAACCCTAATACAATGGAACAGACATAAGAGCCGAGAGAGTAAGAGAGGTCAGAAAGACAATACATACCTCATTCATATACATAATTTGAAACTTGAGATATATTTTGCATGTGCTCTATATGAGGAAATCTATACTAAAAACAAGATAGAAACCAAACTCATGCGATAGAATAAGATCCTTTGCTTTCAATGTCTAGAAGAATTTACGAGCAGAACATAAGCAGCTAATTTCCTACGCAAGTCATAATTGTTGAGAGATTGATGAGTCAACAATTGGTCAAGTGTTGAACCAACGACCAAACCGGTATGCAAAGTACCAAAGCTGAATTGATTTGACCATTTCAATACACTTTATTTATTTTGTTTATTGTTAATGCAAATAACTTACACAGAGAGAGAACGTGTTCTGTTTTCTCAAAAAAAGGAACATGATCCTCCTCCACGTTTCCCTAATTATTCCCATAATGCATTTTACTTCCCACTTTGTAGGAACGTTTTAGTTTCATCACTTGTATATATAAGAAACACGACCCAAAAGAAAATCAAAAGTCACGATTCAAATTTGCCTAAAGAGAAGTGTTCTTGCTGTTTTCATTTCTTAAAAGCTTCGAGTGGAAACCGCATCATCAGAGTCCAGACTTTTTCATGTAAGAATAAAAACCACCGTTTTTTTGTTTTTTTACGAGTTTGCCCTTCCTTTATAGTCGAATTTGCAGTTGATTGAGAGATAGGCTATATAGTTTCAATGGGCTTGAATATCAGGCCCATTAGGATGAGATTAGATTGAAATTTTACAAAACGTAATTTACGCATAATTGAAAGGAAATATAATAATGAGCGGCGAGTCTGAGATTCTCCCGCTTCACGAAAATTGATCCGATTTTTGAAAATGCTCCAATAACCTCTTTGATTTCGGTAACTAAATGATTTCCAAAAGATTTAGTTTCCTTTTGATGCTCTA